GACCAATAGGCTAGTCAAGTAATGTACCAATTTAAAATCGTTAGTTTCGTATTGATTGTTGCTATTATCGGCTTCAGCTCCAGATCATCAGCCTAGATCTAGAAATGGACTCCCAAGCTGTTCTATAGAACCGATTCATTAAAGTCAGCTGATTATTTTTTTTTTTGTTTATTAATTTATTTGATAAGGCTCAACCGAATTAACTTTACCGAGCCGAGGATTCTTGGTCACTATACAATACATCTCAAAACTATAGTCAAAAGGTACAACACAATAAACACTTTATCTTCCGCTATCCAAAAAGCCTCCTCCATCAGAACTGGAGCCGCTTCCAGTAGTTTCATTGTATGGCAAATTGTTGTACGCCAACGAGGGTCAGAGCGCGTCCATTGCAGCAATGGACGCAAAACGTGGTCAGCACTCACACACTCATCACGAAACGGTTGCTTTCCAAAGTCGACGACGCATCGACCGAAAGAACTGCTGATGAAGAACAATGAGGAGGACCACACAATGGTTGCTGCCGAGAAAACAGACGATCGCGTAGCACACATCGAGAGTGGCCTGCTTTTGTCGACAGCCGAGTGAACACTGAAGTCAGCTGATTACCCGTGGGTCATTTTTAGGAACCGAAGCTCATCAGTTCACTGATATCATCTAATGATGTATTGAAATATGAGCGTGCATTTGCGGAGCGGAGCAGAATTTATGTTGGAATGAGAGAGACAACTAGTACTTCTCTCCCTCTCGTACATTCGCAAAATCTCGGCCCGCTCGTGAAATATCGCTCAGGACGGAATCTACCTTGATTCTCTAGCACAATTGCTCCCACTATTCTCGGCTTCAGCTCAGATCTAGAGATGGACTCCCGAGGTGTTCTATAGACCCAACTCACTAAAGTCAGCTGATGACTCGCCGTTTATTTTTAGGAACCGCAGCTCATCAGCTCACTGATATCATAAGTCTAATGGTGTATTCAGATCAGAGCGTGCATTGGCGAAGTGGAGCTGTCTCTATTCTCGGCTTCAGCTCTAGATCATCAGCTCAGATCCGGATCCGGAGCTGAATCGAGAAGAATCGAGAGAGAAAAAGATCCGAAGAGCTGGACGGGACCCGGACCGACAGCTGTCATCTCACTGAATCACTCGAGCCGATCATTCGGATCCGGAGATGAGCTGCTAAGCTTTAGAGCTGCATTTAGCTTTTCGGTTATTTGCTTTTGTGCGGATCTTCCGCTCCCCCAGAGGAGAGGTGAGAGCACATATGCTGGAAGAATAACATCAGCAATAAGAGTTGGGTACGTAAATACATTGGATAATACCAGTAGAAATTTAACATCGTGTAACACATGTACATATCAAGCGAACATTGCATTAGGTCCTAAGTAACATTGACAGATTCTCTTCGTCGACTTTCTCTTTGTATCCCCATGGTCATGTTAAGACATTCACATGTTGAATTACGCGCGCATCTTGCTTTACGCGGTGACTGTTCAATGCGTAAAGGAGCAATGCGAGCTTTTTTGAAAAATTCCGCTATAAGACACGGATTGAATGGTTTAGATTTGTGATAACAATGTGCTGATGAGCTGCGGTTCCTAAAAAACTCGTAAAAAAATGAACCGCGGGTCATCAGCTCACTTTAGTGAATCGGTTCTTTAGAACAGCTCGGGAGCGGATCGCCCATCTCTAGTAGAGATAGTTAATTACGATTTTGCTCATCACACCTGACGGAAGTTGCCCTTGCATCCGTTTGGCTTACGGTTTTTCGAGGCTTTCACTCTTCTTTGACATGTCTTGTCTGTGGAAATAGCTGTTACAATCCTAGTTAGTCGGCATTGATATCTTTCGCATGGTATCTTTCTTTCTTTCCGCTCAAAACGTCCTGCAAAAGGTACAAGTTTGTTCCCAGGATCTCCTTCACGATTGCCGGAAAGAATTTCGGCCCAGCTTGCTATTGATCTGATCAACCTTTGAAGCCAGTACGAACGATCGGCGCCACCTCAGGTGTCCTAACTCGAATACGACTGCTCATGTCCGAAGATTGTACTCCTGCATTGTCCGTTCATGGTTGTTCTTGAGCTGCTGAATTGGACTGACAGTCGCAAATCCGGTGCCACCTTCCGATCTTCCGGCGTGTTCAAGTCTTGCTGTGTGTAGAGATCCGTGTGAAGCAGTAGATTCCTTACGAAATTCGCCTCGTGCGGACTCACTCCTTAGTGCTGACCAATTTTCGTCCCATTGCCGGTGATCTCCGTCTAGCAACGACCGGATACAAGTAACTACGACGCGTTTGACTCGCTCCGCATCGTTGACTTGCGGGCAGGATAACGCGGTCTTCATGTGGCCAATTTTGTGCCGTGCCAATAAGTGAACTGCAGCGACTAGAACTGCTTTTCGTTGTCGGACAGTATTATTAGTGGACGCCAGAACTTCAGACAAACCTCCTTCTTTAGGAATTCTACCATATTCTGTGAATTCATCGTGCGCATCGGTTGGACGATAACGTACTTGTTAACGCAATCAACCACCATAAGCAGCACCGTGTTTCCATGCTTGGGACGAGTAAGAGGACCAATGAAGTCCACCGATATCATCTCCCATGGAATCTTCGCTGGTTTGCCCGCCTGACAAGTAGTGCAATCCAAGGCCAGTAATAGTGGGCTTGCAGCTTGTGCCAAGTTTTGTAGAAGCCCAGGTGAACAGCAGTCGGTTCGTCGTGAAATCTGCAGATTAACTGTATCCTCTCTTTTTTGCCAATACTGCTCCCATCTCGTCTTTGCAGCGACAATTCTTGACCAGGACATCATTCGCTATCCGAAAATCTGGATACTGGTCTCCGTTGTTCTTCACATTTTCAATCAGCTTCTTGTACCACGAATCCTCTACCTTCTGTGCGGTGAACACTGCTTCAGCCACCGTCCTCGACAAAGCAGCAGGAACTACATTGATTGAGCCTTTCCTGTATCGGATCTCGAAGTCAAATGCATCAATCGCAATAGCCATGTGGGGTTCTTCATCGACTTCAAACAGCTGAGAGCCACATGATAGCAGTTTACGATGAACTTTACCCATTCTACGTATCCTCTGAACTTCTCGATTGCCCTTATCACAGCTAGACACTCGCGTTCCGTAACCGAGTACTTCCTCTCCGACGCTGACAGCTTCTGCGAAAAGTAACTGATCGGGTTCTTCGATTTCTTGAGTGAGGATTGCTCCAATCGCTGTATCGCTCGCCTCGCATGCTATTGCGAACGGTTTGTCGTAGTCCGGCATCGCAGATACCAGAAATGCTTCTTCCGCTGCTGGTGTCCACCGGAAATTCGTCTTTGCTCTTGTTAGATTGTCAGTGCAGTTGCATGCTGGGAAAACCTTGCGATGAATCGACGATACCAGTTACAGACGCCCAAAAAGCTCTGTACCTCCTTTCTGGTCGAAGGTGTTGGAAACTGCACGATCGCCTCGATCTTTCCGTCGTCCACTTGCCATCCTTGCTCGTCGATCACATAACCGAGGTACTTCATCTGTTTCCAACAGAACATTGACTTCGCTTGCCGAAGTCTACGGGCTACTTATTTGAGCAGAGCGATTCGAAGGTTTCCGAGCAGATGATGATGTCAAAGACCTGCGGTTCCATATCTGCAAAGATATGCGTCATCAGCCGTGAATGCTGTTAACGGTCTCGACCTTTGGTGAACTGGAAGTTGCCAGGATGCGTACTTGAGGTCTATCGACGAGATGAATTTGCTGCTCCGGAGGTTGTTCGTGATCGATGCTATGCTGTTTAAACCTTGGGAAAAATTAAGAGGCTACGTTGTTACAATGGTGGGAATTCCAGAATGCCATAGCTAACGGAGAAACGTATAACTATAATGACTGGTACATCTACCCTACGAAGGTTTCTAAAAATCTTCGATCACACAAATTTAAGGACGAGATTGACTGGATTCTTGCACTTCATGTTTTCAGGGACACTAATTCAAACATCCAGTAGTCGTGCAAGTCTGAATATCAAGCTCGAAGTTTGCTTCTCTACTGCAAATTCTTAAATGCATTTTAAACTTCGTTCAAGATCGTCAGATGTGGGCTCGAGAAAATGCGAAAAGTTTAAGCAAATTGCATGACAAAAAAAAATCTATGGATGACTTGAATCTTTTCGATTTGCGGACAAAGGTCTTCTGTACATTGGCAGAGGTCTTCTGAGATGTCTTTGGTATCATGGTTTTTTTTAGGAATTCTCTTGGTTTATGGTGTTTTACTAGACTTACTCAACTTGCCTTCTGGCAGTTTATTCTGAAGATTAGATATCTAAATTTGTTCTAGAGGTCTTTCGACGAAACATCGAGCTATCTTTACTGCCCACAACTTCCACCTGTTGACCTTTAGTCTTTAATAGTCAGTATCTCTGCAGTGTCTTGAGATATTGGTCTGGTTTTTCTTCCGATAATAGAGGAACTAGTACAAGCTAGGTATGTTATAATATTTTTACAAAAATCGGTTGTAATTTCAGAAAATTATAGCTCACAATTTCAAAAAAGACATGATGCACCAGAGTAACCATGGGCGTTAAAAAGTTAAGCAATTAAGAAAAGAAATTGCCTCGGAATCCTTCGCAATTGCATCTAGAATTATTTTGTTTTCCCATGAGTTAGAAGTACTTGAGGCTATCATTGAGATCTATTTGAATTATCTAAGTTTGGTTGACTTGCGCTGCAAGTCCTACGAAAGGTGTATTCTTAATCGACATCTGTGGTTCTTAATAATTACAATAAGATTATGAACGAAGTACTCTGCCGTCATTTCTAGAATTGGGGGATGACATATCATATAACTTTTTGAATAATTTTGAAATTTAGTCATAAGATTCACCTCAAATTTATAAAATATCGCCTAGCATAATAAAAAAAAATCTTCTAACATCTATGCCAACATAGACCTTGCTCAGAATTGCACCGAAAATTGATTATACTTCGAACCCAAACCAGAAATAATAACACTTACCACTAGCGTCTTCAAGCACAGCGTGTTGGTTTGCGCTCGAATGTCTAAGGCAGCTTGGAGATCCCACACTTTAATCTTGCCATCGTACGCTCCGCTCACAATGCGCTTCGAATCAAACCGAATGCAGCGGACGAGTTCCTCGTGGCCCTCCAAAATCCGCAAACAGGTACCGCACTCAATATCCCAAAGTCTGAAACCACACAAACCATCAACATCTAGCAAATCTAGCGACCAAGCTTCGTTTTACCTTATAGAATTATCTGAACTACCGCTGACGACCAGCCGGTCCCGGTACTGAAGACACGCAATGCCACGCTTGTGACCGTTGAGGGTACGCACAAACTCACACGTCGAAGTGTTCCAAACCTTGATCGTGCGGTCGCCGGACGCCGACACGATGTACTTCTCGTCAAAGTCAACCACGTTGACCGCCGCCCGATGGCCAACCAACACCCGCCGCAAGGCAATCTCCGTCGGTGATGTCATGTCCCACACGGCAATCGAGCGATCCTGCAATAATTGTATTAATTTATTTTGAACTCTGCATCTATTGTGGCGATCGTTACCTTCGAGCAGGTCACCATCATGCCATTGTTGAACCGTAAATGCAGCACCGCTTCGCAGTGATGTATCAAAGTGTTCACCATGTCGCCGCTGTTGACGTCCCACACGCGCACAGTGGAGTCACTGGAACCACTGATGATGACCTTGTCGTCGTACTGGAGGCACAGCACCGAGCCGGTGTGACCGGTAAGGATCTGCGGTTTGAAGAAATTTTTAATAATTTTGAAACAACAGGGAGGGAAGAGGTAAAGGTCAACCTTGCAGCACTGGAGCGAGTTGCGGTCCCAAATCTTGATGGTATTGTCCCGCAGGCCGGATACAATTTTGTCGTCGTCGTACTGCAAACAGTAGACACCCTTCGAGTTCTCCGATCGGCAATTTATCCGCTGCAGGTTGTGATTTCCCGTGCGCCAGTTGTTCTCGATCGCTTCGATGTCCTTCATGATCTTCGGGAACAGCTCCCGGTAGAATTTGTGCGGCCGATGTGTCACGCCCGGTCGCGGTATGAACAGGTATTTGATCCTGGGAAGAGCAAAAAATGGGGATTCATTAAAACATTTGCTCGACTGGGTTTGTTTGAACACAGACCACCCTTTGCGCTCGGCGAGACCCCTCCAGAGGGAGTCGGTACGGACGTTCCGTTCTATCAGCTTCTTCCACAGCATGCCCTCCGATATGACGCGAGACCATTCTTTGCACACGCGTTCCGCTCGGCACAACGATTTGGCGTCCAGGTAGGAGAGGATATTTTCGGCCACGTGATCCAGTCCCTTGGCTGTGAAAAGATTGGAAAAAAGAGGGGGAAAGTGTTTAGTGAGCGTCGATAGCAATTTTGAGATCTACTAAAGTACTAATAACCCTCAAACCCACTTGGACTCCAGAAAGATCTAGAATAAATAAGCAAAATGTGCCCACCTGTTTCCTTTCTATCCCATATCGGCAACTGACCTTGAAACTTCCATAATTACAATGAACATGTATTCAAAGAGCAAACCGAATCTCCGAAGAAACTCAATGCTAGCAGAGAAAACCGAAAGTGATCAAGCAATTCACTCACGCAGCTGAATCCAATTGGAGACATTGCCATCCTTGGACTCCTCGGGTAAAAACAAAAACAAAGCACACTTCTCCTTCATTCGGTTCATCAACCTGTGTCAAATTACACCTTCTTCTCATGAACCTCGCGCGCATGATTCAATCTCCTCCCTCTGGCTAATGCCTCCCCATCATGTGCGTTAATTGCTCCGATAATCATACGGTGCCGAACCCGACCCGAACCTACACTACCGCAAACGCCTTCTCTCCTGCAGCGTCGGTGATCGATCGCCCGTCATTATAGTATTGCTCCACCAACCAACCAACCAACCAACGAACGTAACGCGTACACACGTGCGGCGCATACTTCACTTTGTAACATTGCATTCGCAATTTCGCATTCAGTGCAGCCGCCACCAGCCAGTGCTGTAATCTTTGCCAAATTCGAACGCGCTTGCTAATGCAAAGAGAGCGCCATCACGGAGCAGACCTTTCGAAGATGCGCAGCGTGTTGAAAGCAAAATTGCAAAAGACACGCCAAATTGGCACTAATTTAATCCAAACGAACGGGCGACGGGGTCACCATGGCGTAAGCAGCGTACAGCCGACACGTGGTTGTTTAGTCATTTCAAAAAGTAAGTTAAGAACGATAGAATTGGGATGGAATAGAGCTACAGCATAGACCAAGAACAGATTCCCTATTCGGTAATTTAAGGAGACATAGTTCGCACAGTCCGCATCGTGCTCTCTTGTTCTTGTCGTGTGGATCTATTTGCTTTTTGCTGTAAAAAGTGTTACTGATACCTAAAGCTACTAAAAATTTAAAGTTTAAACATCACTTATCAGTGCTAAATAATACCTGAAAATGTTCCACCTTGTTCGATTCTTATTCCTCTTCGATCATTGTTTGGACCCTACCCCAGGTAATCCTGCTTGGATAAAGTCCATCGAAAGCCTATCCATGAAAAACCACATCGAAATTAGCTGTCACAAGACATGTTTTGGTGTTACAATGCAACTGTCCCCAGCTAAAGGATCCCCCGGGGGCATCCCGGAGATTCCGAGAGTGGCCCATGTGGTCAACGTTCCATTTTAAGCCTACAGAAAACCATGAAGAAAGCGGTGTCGCATGGCATGTTTTGGTGTAACAATGCAATTGTCCTCTACTACAGGTTCTCCCGGTCTATGCTGGAAATTCCGAGAGCGGCCAATGTGATCAATGATCCATTTAAAGTGTATGGAAAGCCTATTCATGAAAAAATATGAAGAAAGAGTTGTCACACGACATGTTTTGATGTAAACTTGCAGTTGTATCCTGCTACAGGTTCCCCCGGGGGCATCCCTGTGGTTATGAAAGCGGCCAATGTAGTAAATGATCCTTTTAAACTCTATCGAAAGCCTATTGATGAAAAATCATGAAGAAATAGCTGTCGCAAGGCATGTTTTGGTGTAAAAATGCAATTGTCCCCTGCTACAGGTTTCCCCGGAGGCATCCCGGAGGTTCCGAAAGCGGCTAATGTGGTCAATGATGCATTTAAAGTTTATCGATAACCTATTGATAAAAAAACCATGGGGGAGAGGTAGCTCATCAATTCTTCCGGTTCGCCTCCTAGCATCGTGCTATAAGGTACCAGGCGATAACCAGGGTAGTTGATCGATAGCTCGATGACGTCATTTCGTTGGCGTCTGCAATGGGAAATTCTCATAGCAGGCGTTGACGATGGGACGTTGTCGAGTTGTTGAATAGCAACTATCGTGGTAACTCACCGATTACCTGTCGATCGGCCAAATTTGGAAAGACGTCTGCATTGAATTGTCTCATATAATAATATTCCGCCCACTATATCACAAGAAATTGCGAGTAGCTGAGTGGAATGGAGATAAGTTAAGCATTGGGTACAGGACCAAGTCTCCCCTGGGTGGTGCCAAAAGATGAGCGCAATAGAATCATCAAGTTGCCATAAGGCACGGAATGAGACTATTGCATGGCTGGGTAGTCAAAGTCTTCCATTCGTTAGTCATTTCAGGTGGATTAGAACAGGTTTACTGCCGCTATTCGCATAACAGTCTGTCCTATGGATTTCATATCTACATGGGACTGTTATGCGAATAGCGTTAGTTTAGGTGGGCGTTGGCCAGATTTGGATTTTTCAGATGTAATCCTGGATAGGACCCTGTCATTAAACGTCGCGTGAAAGTGGAACTTAATCAAGGCCTAAGTACTTTTTCGTAGTTTTTAGTTTTCGGATTTGAAAGATCGTCGGTTACTGAGCAGAAAAACGCGGTCCCAGGTCCTTACATATCAAAGAGATTTATGGTAAAATCGCTTGTGTATCGTGTATTTTGCGAAACTCGTTGTTGTCGTTGGTTCCGGGTTTGAATGGATACACAAATTTGAGCAACGGTATTATGTGATATGAGGGGCTCGGTGGCCTTAGAGCAACCGTTTTTGCTTACTGAGCAGAACATCATGAGTCTAATCTCAGGCCCATCCACATTCAAGATTCATCAATCGTTTTATTTGTTAATATGACTACTACATGGTAATAACAACAACTCGGTGATTAAAAAGGTGCTCGTCTGCCTAGTGGCAAACGTTTTTGCTTACTGAGCAGAAGACCGTGGGTTTAGTCCCAAGCTCCTTCGCGTTATATGATCGTTAGGACATCAATTCAGCTTATCGTTTACCAAAACGAACCTTGCTGCAAACCCAACCCTCTTATCCAACATCCCAGTGATTCCTCGTGGAAGTGCAGAGGTGTTCTCGGCTTCCATCAAAGCGAGTGTCATGTCAACACAATCCTTCCCATTCCTTTCTTGACCTGTGTTCGGGCGCGGCCGGCGCTGGTATTGCCTAATTTAAGATCACCAGTTTTTACACATTGAGGATGATTGCTAGTCCCAAGCATCGTCTATTGGTTCTCTGTGTAATTACAGCTGATCTGGCAGTAACAGAGTAGCAACCGTGGGCGGTCAATCAAGCTCAAGCTTATTGATATAAAAAAAACCATGAAGAAAGAGCTGTCGCACCGCATGTTTTATGCATGTTTGTTGATTAAAAGATCTGACCGCATTCAGAACCCTCCATCAGAACCAATTCCTGGGAAATGGCCATATCTCGGTTGATTATTGGCATATTCTAGTTTTTGGCGCATCACTTGCATTGGAAATAGTTTTTCTTTTTGTGTAGATACTAAAAATATTTTTATATAGGGGAAAAGTTGGCTTCGGCAATACCTTAACCTATTATCGTCAGGGGGTAAACAACATCCTTGAGAGCTCAATTTTCGCATGTGGATGCATTGTGTTTCAGAGCAACTGTTTGCCAAATTTGAGTGCTCTAGGACTTTGTTTACCCCCCAGATGATAATAGGTTAAGGTATTGTCGAAGCCAACATTTCCCTTGTTAAAAAAATTGATTTTTAACCGGCATCCTATAGAAAATAACATCACAAATTTAGCAAGTTAGACAAGCCCTTCGGAAACCCGAAATATCTCCGGTATCCGGTGACCATGGTTTTCCAGTTGAATTCTTTTGGAAGAATTAAAAACGGATCCCATTTGACGAAGTTGCAACACTCCAAAGTTGACCTAGTTATTTTGAGTATCCCCTGTATGAGCTTGTAGGTACGTGTGGAACACTTCGTCTAATTTGAAACAATAGTAACTTTGTGTACAAAGACCAAATTGATTTGCAGTCTTCGGAAAAGTTGTTTTGTATAGTATTCTCAATCTAAGTCCGAGATTTGGTGAATAATGTGCAATATTTTGATTTTTGGTAAGCAAATTAATAGGATCGTTCTGTTTCCTATACAAAATTTAAAATTCTCCCGCAATTCGAGTTTATAGCCAGATTCGATCAAATTTTTTGCACAGTTGCTGGGGACCTCAATACACATTGAAATAGCAATGCGGAACGGGCGGTTGTAAAGTTGACCCACCCTAATGCTCATCCTCTTTACTCTTCCTCACATTGCTAACTCGTAGTGTCTGGTTTGAATGGTTACAACATCAACTCGATTATAAGTACTGTGTTGTGATATGAGGAGCTCGGTGACCTTAGGGCGACCGGTTTTGCTTACGGAACAGAAAATCGTGGATTCTATCCCAGACTCCTTTCTTATCGAAGAGTTTTTTGTATTAGAGTTGTCATGTGATTTGATGATGGGAGTTAACCGATTCAAAAATATTAAAGCCTTCCACACGGGACACTGTCGAATTGTCGATTCCAAACTGTTTCGCGATTTTTAGGGTGTCCATTCAAATCCAATTTTTCAATTCCCGGTTTTTCCCGGTTATTTAAAAAAAAACCCCAACCCAAAAATCACCTCTGCTTTATACAAAAAAAGACGTTCAAAATTAACAGTTTATAGATAATCATATATTTTTGCCAGCAGAATTGCTCTACAATACGTCATGATCTAGATTTTAAAAACTTTATGGAATTCGTATAAAATCAAAGAGTCTCGCAAAAATGAGCCTAAATGTTGTTTTATTAAGTCGTAAAAATCATGTATTAATGGTACCTGAACAGGAGAAAGGCAGTATTATTTTCTTTTAATCTTCCTGGAGTTTAGATGTTAAAGATCTATAAGTAAAACAACATTTTATGGGATACAAAGATGTGTTACAAACATATTTATCATTCTCATTTTCATTATTGTCTTGAAGATATTTTACAGTTTAATCGAAATCTTGCCCGCTTTTCACATTTGAGCATTTTGAGTCTCCGTTCATAAC